TTTTTTTAATGATACAGTTTAACTGTACTTTAAGGGATATTCAGTGACTTGGACATTCTTTTTTATATCCATTCCCTGAATTATGCTTTTCAATAAGCTTTTTACGGAGGTGCTCTGAGTGTTATTTTGTCTTCGTGGTGCAGTTTTATCCAGCAGTGCTGATTCACCAGTGGCTGGACCTTCTACATACAGTTGTCTACTACAATCACCAGAGATACACAGATAATCATCACAACACTGATTTTATGACCTCTAGCACCAACTGGATGTACCTGTGTTAAACTAGTTAAATTATAGACTCTTGTTTACATTTTATATTTTTACCTAATTGACATTATCTTGTAAAACTAAGTTCACATTTTGGCAGGAAGGAGTTTTATTTTTGTAAATTCTCATCCAAAAAGAAGCCAAATTGATTTTATGTTGAAAAACAATAAAAGGGGAAAACTTAAATATTTCTATATGCACTGAAAATAATAAGAAAATAGATGTTGTGCACTAAACGAGTAAAATACTTTGCACTGAAACTGATTTGAGTAAAAGTAGCATATAGTATAGTAGCAGTAGTCAAGTAAAGTCAAAGTACCCAAAGTACTTGAATACTCGATCTATTGTTCCTTCCTATTCTAATAATACAACCACAACATCATCCTGAAATGACTCAAACACGACCAGAACTTTTTTATTGTTTGAGGAAAAGTTCAATACATTTTTCAATAACAAGATGATCTATTTAATGTAAGCTTTTTGTAAATATTGTGCTCACTGCTGCATGTTTTTAAATCTCCACTAAGATGCTGAGAGTCATTACGGTCGCAACTCCCTGCAACACAGCTACTGTTTGCACAGCAAAGCACATCTCCTGACTCCTCCCCCTGAGCAGCCTGTTTAATTCCTGTGAGGGGATGCTTGGCTAGTAACCTAATAAAGCTGCTGGATGCAATCCCAGGGCATAATGTGTGGATCATGTTCATCTGACAGACCTGCTCTCTGCTCCACTCCTGCACTCACACAACCTGCTGCTCTCGTGTAAGTACTGCAGGTCAGAGCTTGACAACTTGTACAGTAGATGTGATGAAGGGAGACGTGTCTCTGCTGATTGAATAAATCACGTGGACTTATGAATGACAACAAACTGCACACAACGGGGACAGACACAGAGAGAACACCTGCTTGCATTTGGTAAGTTTTAGCTTTTGTATTTTTTGGAAATTGTTCAAAAAGAAATGGCTGAAGTTACTAATGCAAGTTTGTTGTTCTGCACATTTGCTGAAAAAAATTTAATGCAATGCTATTTAATTGTAACATTAGTCTGAATGTACAGTAACTCACAGTCTAATTAGTGTTCCCTTTAGCACTAATTGTCACATTTCTCCAACATCCTGGTTAAAGTTCAATGAGTGGCAGCAATTAAGTGTCGTATGCTTTGACTGCACGTGTGATAATTTGCTCCTATGCACAATGTTTAAAGAATGCTCTGCATGGCATTTTGTCATGGAAAGTCACTGGCTTAAATCCCTAGTGGAGTTATAAATGTTTTGCCCAGAGGCAGCTATCCTGATAGGGTTCAGTACATTTCCAGCCACATGCACACACCAGGAATACATAAGTAGGCTAATCATTTTTCTCATTATTCTTTTTGCCAGGAGGTGCCTGTCCTGGTGTAACTGTCAGAGCATAATGGTGGCATTTAAAGGGATCTGGACCAAGGACTTCTGGAGGGCTGTGTCTGGAGAATACCTGGCCACTCTCATCTTTGTCCTTCTAGGCTTGGGCTCCACCATCAACTGGGCTGCGGGGCAGGAGAAGCCTCCTCCAGCTGACCTAGTCCTTATCTCGCTGTGCTTTGGCCTCAGCATTGCCACTATGGTGCAATGTTTTGGCCACATCAGCGGCGGACACATTAACCCCGCCGTCACTGCGGCTATGGTTGTGACTAGAAAGCTGAGCTTGGCGAAGGCTGTGTTCTACGTGGTGGCTCAGTGCCTGGGAGCTATTACTGGAGCTGGGATCCTCTACATAGTCACACCTGCTGCTGTTCGAGGCTCTCTCGGCGTGACCACGGTGAGAGCTGAATCATTTTTAATTGTGTGATAAATGTAGTTGTCCTACTATTTATGAGGTTTCTGTTTCCCAGGTGAACTCTGACATCTCGTTGGGACACGGCCTCCTCGTGGAGCTCCTCATCACGTTCGAGCTGGTCTTCACCGTCTTCGCCACCTGTGACCCCAAACGCACGGACCTGGGTGGCTCTGCAGGCCTGGCCATCGGCTTTGCTGTCGCTATAGGTCACCTATTCGCAGTAAGTAGCTTCCAGTGAGTCGGATTTTAATGATAGATGCAATAAAATAGTTGGGGTAACTAATTAGATTCCACAGAAACAATGATGTATTCACAGGAAATTTACATTCAGACAGTTCACATTAAAATTTAACCACGATATTACAGTCTCTGAGACAGCGTCTACAAATCAGTGCACCACCGTCGCAGACTTAAAGATTAATCTGAAGATCGCGTCACAGTCAACATTAGAGAAACGTAGAACAAGGCTGGAATCCAAGAGCGAGCTCCTTTAGCCGAGCAAGAAGCAGGTGCATCAAGCATCCACTCCTCATGGTGTGATATTGTACGCTTCTCAGTGATTCACACCCACGTGCACATCTTTTTTGGAGGCTGCCATCGCATGGCAACCAATCTCTGGGGGGGCTTCCTGAACCCTGCAGAGCAAATGAATGCACAGGGAGAAAGATGTTATCTCTCTCGCTGCTCAACTGATTTCTGCCTTGGTCTATTTAGCAAATGCATACATACATATATTACAGCTTATATAAGCTACATTCTTCCAGACAAGGGGTATTATGTAAGTCAAAATAAGACAGCATTATGCTACACATTGATGTTAATATTGAACACAACTGTGATCTGTCATCCAGCACGCTGTTGTTTGTCTTTTAGATTCCCTACACAGGCGCCAGCATGAACCCTGCTCGCTCCTTTGGTCCCGCGATGGTCACGCTTAACTTCGAGAGCCACTGGGTAAGAGATGCACCCCTAAAAAAAGAGGATAAATTCAGAAGTTTGCACTGGTAAAACACTAACCCACTCACTCCTCCAAGTGTCTGTATCATATCTGTATGAATATCTGCTCCCTGGTTGAGGCAGGTGTCATGTCAGCTTGTTCTGAAATAATTTCTCAGTGGTTATTTTAACATCTGAAAAGTCACATTTTCGGCACAATTAACAGCAAACCCGAGCGTGAGCTAAAAATGAACTCAATTAGTGCAAAAACCAAAACGAGATAGCTTAAACACTCATTAAAAGCATCATATGACCCATGCATTTGTGAATGGATCCTGCAAACGAAGAAGGGGAGGGGGGGGCGAGGAGGAATCACAAATTTGCAGAATGTTCACCTCTAGCTGCATAATGAGATGTCAGCGAACGAGGTGTAAAATAACATTAGCTCTGAATTTTTTTGTATGTATCCAGGCAATTATTTCCACCGAGCTATTTGCAGACAGCATGGAGTGGCGCTGAGTGTGTGTGTGTGTGATGTGATGGGATCGTTGTGTCGGCGCTCTGTGACGCACTTTAAACTTGAACATGCATCTTCTGCTGCTGCCTTAAAAACAAGAAGTGAATTAACTCGGCATAGATTGGATAATTAGTTGGAATGTAAAACTAATTGAACAACAGGTTTGCTTTCCATTTGTCAAACAGAACCTAAAAGGGAAGTCTGCTAACAAACTAATGATGCTTTTTTTTAAATATGCAAAAACAGAGAACTCCATTTTTGTAGATTTTCAGAAAGCTTATTGTTTGCTTGAGATGATATCAATCAAACTGAAGTCGAGAGATAGCTTAACATTATTGATATTGTCTCGGGCAGACGATGGAACGGTGGGTTTTCTGAAGGTTTTGTGAAGATGGAGTTATCTGTTTTTGCAAATGAACTCTTCAAATAGAATTAATTAGTCGTGTGAGTGCCCAGCAGTGCATTAATTTAACCCATCACAGCAGAACTTGTGTAAAAATCAGAACAAGAAATGTCCTTTTGAGTGTTTGTTAATTAGAAACCCCTCCACTTAATTCCTGCATGATGTTCTACAGTGCAGCTCTGTCAGAAGTGTCTTCTCTCGGTGGCAAATGTTAGACTCTGAGCATCCCAGCCCTCTAATTAGACACTGATTAGCCAGCCGACTAATTAAGGTGCTGTTTGCGGCAGGTGTACTGGGTGGGACCCATTCTGGGGGGCATCCTGGCCGCCGGCTTGTACGAGTACCTGTACTGCCCCGACCCCGAGGTGAAGGAGAGGCTGAAGCACGTCTTTAAGAAGGACACGTCGGGGAAATACAGGGAGGTGGAGAGTGACGACGTCGCCGTCAAGCCGGGCTCCATCCACACCATCGATCTGGAGAAACAGGAGAAAAAAGACCCTTTCCACGACTCCATGGGAGAAGTGCTGTCCTCTGTATGACTATCACGTGCACTGGAGATGGAGACCAATTTGTAGAGCGGGATGGCAATCAAAAACTTTCTAGTGTTCATCTGGAAGCTCCCCTCCCCCCCCTTTGTCCTCGGAGCAGAATATGATTTCTGTCCACGACACAACGTTGTCGTATTAATTTCCTTGTCGTAACACGGCTCAATCTCTCAAACATCTGCAGCCTGCTCGATACTCCTCCTGAGGGGCAACTCCCTCAACGATCCTGCAGCCTGGTGGGCGCACACCGCGGACTGACAGCCCGCAATACGTTGTGTTAGGGAAATATGTGTGGGGTCAACCAATTACGTGGGGTCATCACGCTGAATTGGAGAAGTGAAGTAGAAAATGCACCCTTGTTATTTTTGGATTAGTGTCACATTTGGTCCGTGTATCGTATATGTAATAAAAGGGGAGATTTTCCTTGTGATCATTAAGCACATTACAGATCACAAGCAATTGAAGACAGCTCTGACAACCTTTATTATCACAGTCGCGTTGCCGGGCTCTCTGTTTTCAGTGCGCTCGTCGGGGAAACAGCTGGTTCATTTACATTTATTTTTGTAGAAACTCTATCTCCACTGTTTTGGGTGTTTATAATGTCTGTTACTGTGTGATTTTTCTATTTCATAAAAACACTTAGCTGGTTTTATTTTATCGCTCTAGAGTCTTGTAGCACATCTTATCTATGATTTCCTGTTTATCAGACTTCAGCGTTTAATTTATTGGTAGGATGTTTGACTTACCTGTGTCAAATTCTGCAGTGATCATACACCGCAAGTGCAACAAGATGTACAAGATATTGTAATAATAAACATTTTTCTAATTATTCTAGTCCTCTGTTTGATTTTTGCTCTTGTTTTTACGCATGCAAACCATCAAATCCACTCTAACTTCTGGATATCTGTGGGAATCCTAGTGATGCTACCTATATGGTCTTTCACTTGAGACACAAGTGGTAGGTGCTGGGAGAATAGAGAGGAGGTTCAGATCTGTGATGGATTGGCTCATCTGCCTCTGGATGATGTCTCCCTATGGCCAGATAGATGTCCACAGTGTGTGTTCCTCCTGAGTTAAGTCGCTGAGAATAGCTCCATGTAATCTCATTCCATCAACGGAGGGCGCAGAAAATGGTCCCACTTTGTGATAGGAAATAGAGGTGATCTGTTATGTCCACACTTTATTTCCTTTGCTAAAAGAACAGGTGATAGTCCATCTTTTTTTTTCTTTTTTGGGGCGGAAGAAACAATCAGCCCCAATGATCCTGCTGCATCTGCTAAAGCTGTTTGCACGATGCAACTATATTGCATTTGCAAGGCTTGAACACCAGTGTAATTCAGATACTAAATCAAAAATAGTTTTAACTCCCACTTGCACCAACTCCCCTCACAGTCACGGCCTCCATGCAGTGTTTTCTTTTTTTGTTGCATGTGACAACAGCATCACCTACTGGCCGCAGTGTGAATCGCACCCTGTGTCCTGGTGCTCCCACTTGTTTTTCTCCAGGGGAGGGCAGCCATGAGCCTTGGATGTGCAGGTTTCCACTGCAGATGTAGGTAGACACAAGTCTGCTTTATTCAGAAGTTGCATTTCATATGAAATTGATCCAGGCCGTGAATTCAGAACTTTGCAGGGAAAGAAGTGCTGCGAAACTTCAAAACAGGAATCCAGCTTTCAAACAGGAGCCAATCAAGTTCATAGTAAATCACCTTGTTTTTAGCCTACCTTCGTATTCTTAACACTTTTGCAATTTTCTGAGAGTAGCTTAAGGACGTGCTGGGATGCTTATTCTCACTCAGACCGCCTGAACTGAATCGCATTACCGAGACGTTGCTGTGCTCAAGATTAAACTGTTGCTGGACGCGGTTCTTCCTTGAGTTGAGAATGGACAGCACTGACTTTCCCAGCTGCACCATCCTTTACCTGCAGGCGTTGTGTCTGTATCCCTTAAGGCTTCAGTGGCTTGAGGCCAGCACTCTCCTGGCTCCCCTTAATCATCTTTATAGCCCAAATAAATGAGTGCATAAATCTGATGTTTCATGCATTGAATATTTCCTCTTGGGACCGATGATGGGGAATGGGTTCACTTGGTTTTGATTTATCGGGCCCCGACTCATCTGGAGATTAAATAGAGGAAGACAGGTGAGGATAGCAGTCCCGGTTGGAATGGAAATTTGGTTTTCCTTATGAATTTCATATTGGCGAGGGAGAGTAAAATGTTTTTTAAAAAAGTATTTACCGCGGTGTGCATGCAGGGCAACAAAACACTGACGAAATGTGTTGTGATAGTTTTTCACACTCTTCCATGAATTAGAGAACGCCGTGCCAATCAAATCATGAGATTTCATTAGACAAATGCGCTCGCTGCGTGTTGACAAACTTCCAAAAGGTTGACTCCTCAATTAGCAAAAGCAAACACAAAGTGACAGCAAATAATAGACCAAGAGTTTTTTTTTTCTTCGGCTGCCTGTTTGTTAACATCTCGAATGGCTTATCAGCGAGATGTTGAACAGAAAAACTGATAACGCATGGATGGCCCTCAGAGTGGCTGCCTCCATAATTCATTAATTTACATTCGCAGTCATTGCAAATACCAACAATAGTTATATGATTGGAATATTGTGAGAACCAGAGACTCATTTGCACATCATACAGATAGAAGCAAAGTATATCTCACAGTGCATCTCACGCTTATCTAATTAGGAACAGGCAGCTTTCTTGCCACTTGAAAACTCTGGATTCTCAATTCCCAGCATACAACAGAAAGGGCAAAAAGATAAAACACACACCTTAAAGATCATTAGCAATTAATATTTGGGGGATTCATGAAGAAAAACAGCGTTAAACACTTGTTTAATAATTCATACTATAAACAAGAAAGTCTCCCACTTCCTTAATAATTTAGACGTAAGCTAATGTTGATTTATTCAGGAAGGTCTCTGCCACCAGCACTGCCTGGAGTGCCCAAATTTGAATTAAAGTAGGACAGTAGCAGGCGAGTCTGTAATAACATTTGTATAATTTTATTATTGCTCTGGGCTCAGTTCATTTCCTCCTCCAGTAGCTGCGTGAAATTGTTTGATTCTGGAAACTGCCTTGAGTCTGCGGCTCTGGGGTTGGAGGGTGGTACAGGAACAGGAAGGCATGCGACACTCTCTCTGTCTGATGCTGTCAGACACATAAACACACAACTCCACGTACACACACACACACACACATGCAGAGAGAGAGATAAATAACTTTGTTATTCTGGGTTTTGTAATACTGTTACATTGGCTCACTTAATAACTCAAGCTGTCTTGAGAATATGATTGATATTCTCACTCACCTTGTCACTTATGATAAATATTTTACTGCGTTTGTGTGAGATAGCTGGCAACCGGAATAACTCATTCATTACATTATCACATCATGTGAATATGAGAGTTTGTGTTTATGTCTTTTTCCAGCAGAGAGATTGTCATTTCTTGCTAATATTAGTCAAAAGAAGCAAAGTGCTGTTTGTATAGAAGCTGATAGGACGGCATTATTTTAATGTAGCTTTACTACTAAGAAATATTTCATTTCTGTTGGCCCATGAGGAAGAATTAAGCTCCACAATCATTTGGGTTTTTTTTTTTTTTACTAAAGCTATCAAGTCTTATCATGAGATTTCCAGTCCTTCCTCCACTATAGTGTGAATTTGTTTACCAATGATGGGACTATCATTTCCAAAATGGTAATTTACAAAACTCTGATTACTCTAACACAAACAATCAAGTTTGGGAGGTATTAGCTCATGTAACACACACCTGGGACCCCGGTGGCTTTGACACAGGAAGGGAGGGTGGAGAAGTTCTGATTGGTTTCCTCGGGCTCTGCTTCCAACTTCCCACCCGCACACATTCCCTCACTCCTCCTCCCCCACCTCCTCCTCCAATTCCTTTATGCAGAGCAGCCCAAACTGCAGTTTGATGAAACACATTTGTTTGACTTAACTCTTGCCGCGCCATCACGGCTAAATCTCGAAGGCCTGTCGGTGTAATGTGGCCCAACAGCAATTGGGTTAATGAGAGGATATATGTACAAGTGTGGGACTTGACCGGAGGAGCTGTTTTCCATTTGGGTTTGGTCTGCTCATGTTATTAGGGAAACCTTTATTATTGTTGCCCTCTAGTGGGAACCATATAATAGGATTACATTTTATTAGAGCCTCCCAGCATTACCCAAGCAGCCCCCTCCTCTTGTCTCTCTTCCCCTCATAGTAGTGTCACTGACTCCTCTGTCCACTGTGGGTGGGATGGGTGCAAGGGGGACGCCAACAAGTGGGGAAACTAGAGATCCCACACAATAGGGATCTCCATTGTTCTTCAATTACAGACAAAGTGATATCGATTTTTGATCAAGTAAGCGAACAGAGCAGTCTCTGTCGTGTGTTTTGTGAACTGAAGTAACCCCACTGTAACAGGAGGCAGCGACACGGACGCAGCTACGGCACAAAAAGCTCGTTCCCCGCGTTTTTGCGATTACTAACGAAACAAAATAGCGTCTCTGTCATATAATTACCATTATTAACGGCGAGCCCTCTGAGGCCGCACCTGCAGGTATGACTTAGATCACGCCGTAGCTATGGAGACGTTCTCCGAAGCTAAATTTCATTGTGCCAAAGATAATATTTGATGAACAGTTCTGGCCCAAAACTGTGCAACCCCGCAGGGCAAGACTGAGTCAGGATCTGGAGCAGCTTCAGCACTTTCCCTCATCCATCCCACTCCCTTACATAACCACAGGCCATCGGAGGGGTGTGGCAAGTGTAGCAGCAGTTATTAACATGGTCTGGGGCGAAAGCAACATCTCGCTTTGTCCGCTGACTCGTAAGCGAGCGGCGGGCCCGGTGTGATCCGGTGGTTGTAGACGATGGTGTAGCCCCCCTGACTATTATCTAACACTAGAAATGAACTTTATAAAGATGCTCTCAGCTCAGCAGCATGCTGGTTTCATAAATATTAAAGTAAATATTCAGAAGCCAAAAAGTCTAGACCGGGTAATTGTTAAATTGGCAGCGATAACTGGAGCCTTCTGTTCAGCAAATGGTGTCAAATTCCACCTTAACAGGGAAATAAAGAGCAGCTACTGTGGCCACACCTATGGGATAATGGTGAACGCTGAGGTTGCAGTGCAGCACTGACACGAGTAAAGAAGGACAATAAAGCCAACAAACCAAATGGCGATTTTATGCACCAGTATGCTAACGTTAGCCATCATAAGCCTCCCATCATACCAGTGAGCTGGAAAACTGTGTAGTCAACTAAGAAGGATTGAGTTAAACTTTAACTTAGGACTGTTTTCAGTGTTTCGAAACATACTCTCGCTTAGCGTTCAAGCTGTGACCCAAGGAATCGCCGAGCTAATAATCACTCGGATTTTTGTGAGACTTTACTGCGGTGAGGTTTTTTTTTTAAACTCCCAGCGTGCACAGCGAGTTCTCCAGGCTTCCTCTCTCTGGATTTATAACCCAATGATGTCATTCAAGTAAGGCAGTTTCTGTTTGGAGCAAACTTACATCTGCAACCAATCTGGATAATTTGTCCACCAAAATATGGCAGAGCCAGCCGGAGCTCGCCTGTTGTTGTTGCTGCTGTAAGTTAGATCCAAGTAAACTTACGCCCCCCTTCCACTGGAACAATAGCTTTTTTTTTTGGGGCCTCCAACATCACGTGCGCCCAACAGTCTCCACCGGTTGTTTCGACAACATCTGATGCATGTTTTAAATACTTAAGCGAGAGACCACATTAGGAATGGGTTCCATTTGTGCACAAAATGGATAACGTATGGGATCTTAAGGCCTCGGGTG